TGGAAAAAATAATGTATTTATTTAACGAGGTTATCTTTTATGTGTATAGCAATACGATTTGCATGTACAATATATGCTATCCTTATTTCAGTTTACAATTTGTGTATTTAGGTATACTTTTAATATAGAGAGCARCATTGTCTATATTATTGTGTATTATCTAACATTGTGTATTATAGTAAATTCTTTCGTTTTCTTTAATAATACATCAACATTGGGAAAATTTAAAAAAAATATTTTCGAGCTTATCGAATTTTCAATTTTAACCGACGAATTGCGTATTATTTGTCTCAATTGACTGAGCGTATAATATTTTCTTCGTCCCTCGGCGACGACGCCGTCACTTGAATGTCCCAAGAAGTGCTTTCAACCCTCGTCCCTCGTTTCCTTATTGCGCTTTGAAAGTTTTTAATTAAACGGTACAATATTGCTAACAAACCATGTACACGTATATATATACGAGACAAAATTATCAAAATGTAATTATGGAACCTTAACGTTATTATAATATGAATAGTGTTCACTAATTTTTCAACCATCGCGTAATTTCAAAGCCATCGACTTGCTTATTGTTATTATTTTTTTTTCTCTTCAAAGAGTTGCACAATTTCGTGAATTTTTTAAATAAAACGTCACCGCGCAATACTTATCCGTTTATATTGTATTATATAAAATAATATTATGTGACTTGCGTATTATATATTGCAGTGAACTTACTTTTTTCGTCATTCGTTCAATTTATTATATTCATAACGATTTGCCGTCCGCTTCTTACTATTGCGTTTCACAGACCCCATACACCGAGTGAATTAATGATATATCTGTGGAAGAATGCGCCGGAAAACGTGAAAAAATGGCCAAAATCCAAAATATGTGAAAACGACGACCATCATCATCCTCTTGTTGTGTGCTGATCGTGTGTGTGTGTGTGTGTGTGTGTGTGTGTGTGTGTGGCTCGAGAAACGAATAATAATTTTTCGCGTAATTAAATCTTGTTAAAACCAAATTGTTGTATATATTATAATAATATAGTTTGATTTACGTGCTCGTTTGCAGAATTTAATGCCACGCGTTCTGCGACCGCCAACCGCGTATATATATATGTAATGTACTTAAAATAACTTTCGTCTGACATTGTAATATATTACTATATATGCACATATAAATATTAACGTTCTTTCAAATTTTCTAATGAAAATGTAATAGTTATTTATACAATAAAAAAAATAGATTCGAAAAGTTCCATCACGCATAGGGTAAAACGTTGGTCGTAAATGATAATAACAACAACAATAATAATAATGAAGTCCACAACAATAAAATAATGTGCTGACCGACGACAACTATAATATTATAATATTATCTAATAYATATTCACGAGTATAGATCTCTTCAAATTCTCCGTCCAAAAACATATATTTCACAATAATAATATAGGTAAGTACGTTTGAACAGATAGTCAATGGTGTGTTGTGTTTTCACTCGACCGTATACGTTGCGCGGCCGCCAATGTTTTGACAGTCACGACCTTTAACAATGTGTGTATACAATAATGATAATAATAATAGGGGACGRCGAGATAGGTCCGCAATAGTGCAGCTTGGAATATTGGTATATTCTTGGAATACGCGGTAATAATAAAGTTATATACGTCCCCAAACTTAATAAGTCGCCTAGACGTTCGCGAGGTTATATAATATATACCTATATAGGTGCGATGTTGTTTTTACGTATATAATATAAACTGCGTCGTATTATTTATTTCGATTCTCCGGCCGCGAGGGTAGTAGTTACTATACATACACACATATGTATATATATATATGTACAACGCGAAAGTGCCATGTATATACTACACTCACGCATATATATATACGTACATATAGGAGGCACTTCATTGTGTATTGCTCTGCTACTCATACACACACACACACACACACACACACATTATATTATATCATCCCTCTAGCTGGTGTGGGTAGAACACCGTAACAGCGGCCGCGGTTGTGTCTAACATGGCAAATCCGGGTGCCAATAAAACATCTATAGCCGAGAAACCAAACGACCCCCGGGCAAATTAATTTAAATCCCCGCCGCCCGGACCACCCCACCCGAAGTCTTGTGGTCCAGTGGGAAATTGTGGTGAAGTTGCGTGTGCCACCCTTAAAAAGGGAATTGTTGTGTAAACAAGGTATAACTAATTCAGAGGGCGTGCCTCCTCCACTATATATATATAT